AAGTAATACTTTTTTAGTTCTAATCTTAGATCTAGGCTATAGCTGAAGAGAAGTAAGTTCAATTTTTGAACGTACAATGAAGCTACTGTTGGTTACTGTAATAATTATCATTATTGCTATTACACATTCATTAATACATATTACACTAGCCTAGGTCTGCCATGTCATTGTATTGAAACACTGTTGATTTTTCTGTTTCATACACATTGAGAAATCTGCTCTGTTTCCACATGGAGCAGCAAGAATTGGTGGTATGAGGCTGCCAACACGTCTCTTTCATGAAGATGGAGGGTTGGGATACCATTGCTACACGCCAGCTTCTGTAGTTGGCAGTGCATTTTCCCTGCAATAATTTCATCCTCCTTATGGCTTCATTCCTTTGTGTTTTACAACTAATTCAGCTCCATGATGCAGCTGGTTCCTTCCTCTCCCTCCTTCAGCATTTGCTCCTGTGTGCTTCTGTCCTTTACTCTTCTGTACTTCTGGCCATATCCCCCTGCATCTGCAGTGTATGGGCTCTGAGTCATTTCTCTAATGTTTAATTTTTCATTTGATTTGCATCAAATTTGTTACATGCAACACATGGTGCTATTAAAAAATAACTCTAAGGTGATTAGCTATTGAACTGGATAATGAATGTCATTAGCCTATTCTTCAGAATGATGGTATTTAATAAAAACAAAAGGAAGATTGTGCTTATCTGGACAGGGAAGTTCAACCCCACTGACTTTGCTTTGGAAGGAATTTCTCATCTGCTGTGTCACTAGATGTGGTTGTATAAAACAGTCATATCTACTTGAGTGGAATTTACCTTTAAAATGACCAGCACTAATGAAAGCTCTGATTTGATGTCCTGCTACAGTGAACCTCTCGTGAACTGCTAGCTTTTAATTTCCATGAATTGCTATTTCCATATGAAAGGCAGTTTCTCCTGAAGAATATGTGAAGCCTTGCAAGTAGATGTTTGATGATCCTTTGCATTTTTGTTGTTATCCGGGCACTGCAAGATAGCTCCTGTAGTGCATGTGGTGATGTGTATTAAAAGGTAACCTAAGTCTCTGCTGGGTAATAATATTTAAACCTCCAAGAATCTTATCTTTCCACTGTATACTAATTCTTTCTTGGCAATATTTCAACCAATTTCATGGTCCGCATCCCTAATAAGGACTATCTAAGTTTCACAGAGTCAGTTAATAGCTGCAGCATTGGAAGCCTGGTCCTTTCAAACCTGCCCTGAACCAAAATTATGCCTGGACCATTACGGAATGAAAAGAAACAAAACCCCAAAAAACTACTTTACCATAGTGAGGAAGCTGCATGTTACGCAAGTACTGCTTCTTTTTCTTGAAACACAAAGGTTTGTCCCAGGCTCTCTTCTGTGTGGAAAATATTTACAGACTATATGTATAAAACATATGTAGAAAATAATATATCACTATTTACGTTGGTAAATTGGTATCCAGGAAAGGGGAGAAGGTTTTTAGCCCAGAGAGGCTGAAGTTGCAGTTGTTTTCATGAGCTGAGGAATGCTGAGCCAGAAAGAACTCAGATCTGTAGCCATTAGGTAGGAAATGAGAAAAGTATAAATACATGAAATGACTCCAACATAGAAATTAGGTACCTCCTTATTTTGCATTAAAAAGTCTGTACGTGGCTCGAGCCTTTTTTTATTGTTTCCTCTTACATGTATCTTGCAGTTATTTTCAGCTGTCATCTAAGATCAGCCTGCTCCCCCCCATTTAGCTACACACTTGAAAAGAAAGTAAGTACACTTCTTTCTGTACACTTCCTTCATACAAGACTTCTACAGGATAATCAAAGCCTTGCTTCACCCTTACCTTCAATTATCAAAGGTTGAATGTGTCAACTCTCCTACACTCCCACTAATTTAGATACCATTACTCCATAACACCTGGAACACCTGCCCAGTCTGTATGTTTGACTTCTAAAGCAGCAAGAAGTGTATGGGAGGAGTTGATCAACATGGATTGTTATTTAATAGTTGTTTTGCAGAAATGCCTACAGGCATTAATTAAGATCAAGGTGCAAAACACTAAGAAGACTCGCAGTGAAAAATAGTCCCAGTTCCGGAGAGTTCATAATTCACTTCATAGCAAGTTACAACAGGTAGATGCAATAAATTAACTGTAGGGAGTGTCCAAGCATTTTCTGGAGAGCATGGATAATTTCCATGTATATATTTACAAATATATACAAATGCTCATGTTCCTGAAGATATTAATTTCTATTTTTTCTTAAAATTACCTTCCCGATGTCATAAAACTCTTCTTCCAAAAAACTGCATAATCTATCAGATTCCAACACCTGGTGTGTTGGATATGCTATACCTTAGAAAAACATCACTTCTGTATCCCTCCCTTTTCAAGAGCACTGAAATATTATGTACTGACGGCTGTACAGCAGAACAAGAGATAAAGGCAAGCTTTACACATTTTATATTTAAAATTAAAATACCTTCAATAAGGGTAGGAGCTGGCCTGTATCCCTCCTTGTGGAATTAACTGTAAAATGTGTTATTAAAAAGCTGTGTAAAGTTTGAATGGATCTTGGTAACAATCAGACATTATGATTTAGAAGAGTGTAATACTAATAGGCTTATTTTTGCATTAAAAATAGGGGCTACTTAATTTGTAGGTGAAGATAAAGGTCGATTTGATTTATTTCAGCTTGTCAAGTTTTATGAATAAATCTATTATCTCCACTAATATTCCGTAACAAGGTACTTCTAGCTGGTTTCCTCCAATTTTAAATTACTGAAAACCATCTATGAAATAATTAAGGCCCACTTTTACCATTACTATAAATGCTTTTCTATTACGTTGTATGTAGTGTAAAATACTGCCAAATCAAAAACCTTACCAGTTGGCCTCAGGGGTAGTAACTTGCCCCTCCTTTCCATAGAAGTAAAATCACCTTCCTATACAAATAGACCACTTCCTCCAAAGAGAATCATCTGCAAGATTAGGATGTAAATAACTAACAAAGTTAAAAGCAGTGAAACATTAATCTCAGATGTAAGCAAATTAGAATTTTATTTTTAGTAGGACTGGAATGGGTATTTTAACATTTCAATAATATGAAACCTTGCCTACAGCACATGGTGGAATTTTTGTTATGTGCCTTTCCTATTAAGTTACTTCTCTTTTATATAAAATTCTCTGATATTTAAAATACAGAGTACAATGCTTTCAAAGGGGAAAACAAGAAATATGATTGCCTGAATACACTTATGATTTCATTCCTTTTCAGCAGCCACATAAAGACATCTTAAATTCTTCTAGGAAAAAAGCAAGACTAGTATTGAAAATGCCACTTTTTCTTTTTTTGCTGGAGCCCAGCTGGTCAGATTTGGATGGTTGCCCAGAGAAGCTGTGGGTGTCCCATCCCTGCAAGTGTTCAAGGGCAGGTTGGATAGCGTTCTGAGCCACCTGGTCTAGTGGAAGGTGTCCCTGCCCACAGCAGGGGGGGTTGAACTAGATGATCTTGAAGGCCCCTTCCAACCCAAAGTATTCTCTGATTCTATGATTGCAGTACAAAGTAGAGAAACTTGGATTGGTAGATTAGCGCACTAGTACTAGTTAGCAGTTAAACATATGCTTTTATCAAAAATACTGATTAAATTTTTATCTAAAGATGAAGACTTCTGTAGTATGCTCTGCTCTGAAGCCAGTGTGTCTGATCCTTCTTTTACACTGAGCTGGTGTACGTCCAACATAAGCAGGAGTAACCATCTACATTGCCACAGCTGTACAGAAGTTACAGTGGCAAAGGCTGCAAGGGAAAAAAGCTGTGGGAAGGAACAGAACGATGGCAAGATAGCAAAAGTAGCTGAGACAAAATACTCCCCAGGCCTCCTCTAAAACCTGTATGTCCTGGAAACAGTAAATGTATTATCAGACATTAGTAATTAGTTCTGGGAAAAGCTTCACTGCTCAAATCAGGCTGCAATATTAAAATGAAGAATTACTTAAAATATCCCTGTGCTATGGGAAACCTTCCTTGTAAATAAGCTAGGTGCTGTGAGTGTTCACTCCAACCCGAGCACTGCTGCCATCTCTGCGTGCCAGGCGTCCATCAGGACCGCCTCATCCATTCAGTTATTCCCGGCTCCTCCCGTCTGTGTCTCCCGTTTCGCAGAGACAGGCGAAAGGCAGGCACAGTACGTGCAGTGAGCGCAGAGAGCCGGACCTCAGGCCCTGGCGCACTCATATTCAAGCAAAAACTGCAGAGCACCGCGCCGACTGCGCACCGTACGGTGCCTCAGCGGCGCAGGGCGCGGCCGGCCCCAGCCGTGCTGCAGGTGCGCGGGGAGGCGCCGCCGAGCCGCCCTCGGGCCGGCGGGGCGAGGCGGAGTGACAGCTCCAACAGCCAATGAGCGAACGCGCTCCGGGCGGAGAGGAGGAACACCGCCGGTCCGCCTCCTGGGCTGGTGGGAGAGAGTCGGAGTGACAGCATCCACAGCCAATGAGCGCACGCGCTTCGGGTGGAGGGGCGGGGCGCTAAGGCTGGCGGAGGGGCGCCACCGCCCGCCGCGGGGGGTGAGAGGCTGCCGTGGGCGGAGGGCGCGGCCGCCGCGGCATTCCCCGAGGGAGGGCAGAGGGAGTGAGCGAGGGCGCTCAAAGCAGGGCGTGGGCGGGCAGCGGTCCCCTTCCCCGGCCGCGCTTGGCCTCGGGTAGTCGGGCTGAGGGCGGTACGGCCCGGGCTGTACGGTGAGTGGCCGGCGCCGCCAGCCAATGGGCGAGGCGGAGCGCGCCTTCCTCCCCGCCCCAGAGCTCAGCAGGACCAATGGGAGCCCGCGGGGCGGGGCGCGCGAGCCTAGCCGCGCGCTGGGAGGGGCCCGCGCCGCCAGATGCAGGGGAGAGTCGCGCGGGCGGCGGCGGCAACGGCAGCAGCAGCAGCAGCAGCGGCGGCGGCGGCGGCGGCAACGGCAGCGCAAGCACAAGCACAGGCGGCGGCGCGTGCAGTGGAGCGGCGCGCGGGCATGGGGGCGCGGGCAGCGCGCGCCTCCCGGCGCTGAGGCACCAGCGGTACGAGCGGGGCGGGGGGGCTGCCCGGGCGGGGGTGCCGGGCCGGACCAGGCCGGGCCGGGCGGGAGGGACGTGTGTCCTGTGCCGTTCCGCGTTGCGCTGCTGCCTGCGGCCGCGCCCGCAGTCGGGGCGGCGGCGCTGTGGCCGGCGCGGTGCGGCCGCTCGGCGCAGGCGGAGCGGGGTCTAACGACGTTCGTGTCGTTGTCAGGATCCGAGCGCAGCCGCGGGAGCCGCCTCTGTTGGTGGCAGCCTGCTGTCACCTTCCCTGCCGGCAATGGGGAATGGACTCTCGGACCAGACGCCGATCCTCTCCAGCCTGCCTTCCTTTCAGAGCTTTCACATCGTCATCCTGGGGCTGGACTGCGCTGGGAAGACGACGGTGCTCTACAGACTGCAGTTCAATGAGTTCGTGAACACTGTCCCCACTAAAGGATTTAATACTGAGAAAATCAAAGTGACGCTGGGCAACTCGAAGACGGTCACTTTCCACTTCTGGGATGTGGGCGGCCAGGAGAAGCTGAGGCCGCTGTGGAAGTCGTACACAAGGTGCACCGATGGCATCGTGTTTGTGGTGGACTCCGTCGACGTTGAGAGGATGGAGGAGGCCAAAACAGAACTTCATAAGATTACTAGGATATCTGAGAATCAAGGAGTGCCTGTCCTTATCATTGCTAACAAGCAGGACTTGAGGAACTCTCTCTCCCTTTCTGAAATCGAGAAGATGTTGGCAATGAGTGAGCTGAGTTCTTCAACACCCTGGCATTTGCAACCTACCTGTGCAATCATTGGAGACGGACTCAAAGAGGGACTGGAAAAACTATATGATATGATAATTAAGCGAAGGAAAATGTTGAGGCAGCAGAAAAAGAAGAGATGAGTTCTATTTTGACCTTTCTGTTTTAGAGTAGTTACATGGTCAAAATTTGACTTAAGACAGCTTCCAAAGCCAGGCCTGCCTGTTTGGATGCCGTTAAACTTAGTTACGTTAAACAATCAGTTGCACAACCTTGCTGTGTGAAGGAAGGCTGTGCAGTTGTGGAACTTTTTTTTTTTTTTAACTAGTCTCTTCTGAGTTTTATGGCTCTGTATTATTTCAGAAGCCCTAATAGATGATGTAATGCTATCAGGAAATGGATGTCTAAATAGCCAAATAAAACGAGGGTTTTCTGCTTAGTGTTGTACTCATACGTTTGAGGGTGCCCTCTGCAAGCAGTTTGCGTTCAAGGTGTTTGTATTTTTAAACTTCTAATGCTCGTAAGTGGAGTGCTTAGGTGAACATTATACAGCTTTAAAAACATGTATAAAGCTAGTAACCCATAATTCCGTTGAGGCTGTTTTTTTACCTTGTTTGGGGATTTCCATGGAAGCTTGGCCACATGTGTAGGTTTAGGGTTTTTTTAATTTGGCACTTTTTGAAATTGAATCATGTTCAGTTCAAATACTTGAAATTTTAAGTGCTATGGATTCTTCAGCTCATAAAAGAAAGACTTTGACAAGTGAAAAATGTAAACAACACACTGGAGCATGAAAAAGTGGTTTCCCAACATATAGCATGTTTTTGGTATGTAAGGTTTTTATTTTTTAGAAGTAGCCATTCATCATTATACAGTGCTAATCAGGTTTAAACTGTTACTCAAAATTAGTAATTTATTTCTGAATGGTGAGTATTATGTCCTCCTAGTATGAAAGTAAAAGTCAACGAATTGCAGTAAAGAAGCTATAGAGAACAGTTCTGACTGCTGTGGTTCTAACCAGTGCGGCATTCTTTGCTCTACTGGTGACTTCCTGGTAATATAACATAACGAAGTAAGGATGGAGGTAAAATTAGCAGACCACATCTTGTATCTTCCCAAAATACCCCATTTTATTAAAGTGGTATTGCTGCGTCACTTTCAACGTATGCTTTTTTTTATTGTGACTCTTACAGTATTTTGTGGTTAGGAATGTAATAATGCTTTATACACTCGAACATTAGACACTACCGGGGGCGGGGGTGGGGAGGGGAGGGAAAGGGGGAAGAAGATTTTCAAGATGGGCCTGTGTTCTGCTTTAATTATGCTTTAAGCTGTTCTTGTTTACAGAGTGTGCAAACAGTGTTAACTGGGCAGGATAATGCTTGACGGAAAAGGGAGGGTAGTTTTTCTTACTGGTACAGAGCTTCAAGTGACTCTCTAGATACTTGGTTAGCAATTGAAAGGGCTAAAGCAGAGCCTGGATTTTTAAGACTAACTTTAGTGGTGCTGTAAAAATTCATCAGAATGTTAGATTATCTTTAAACTTTTGTTGGAAATACCAGATTAAAGAAAAAATAAAAAAAATAGCAAAATCTAGTTCCTCCTCTCGACCAGCAAAGTAATACATTTTTCTTACCTGCTGCCATGTATCAGGAGGATGACAGCTACAAATCTGAATGTCAATCGATGTAATTTAGCTATGTTTAAAAAAAAAAAATCAAACTTTTTAACCAGCAGCTGTTTGACCAGGAGGTAACCAAAAATGCACTTTAGTGTTTTCAATAACTGAAAGTGACAGCTGTTTGTTTTTTTAATGACATCTTGGTCCTTTTTGAATAAACTGAAGTAGCTTCCAGTGGAGCTTTTGTATGGTGGTTATATATGTACCTGCACTGGTGACATTGTAAGTCACTTACTCAAGTAATGTCTATATTTATAGAAATGTGGATGACTTCTTAAACCTCAATAAACAATTCAAAACAAGCCTGCAGAGAGAAGGTGTCTGACTTCTTGTACTGCAGTGGTACATTCTTATTGACCTCTGTGCACATAGTTTTGCTGTTATTAGAATCAGTATTTCTGTTGAAAACCCAAGTCATATAAATGTGGTGAGGTTCATAAATGTCACGGTGTTAGAAATTGAAGGTATGCAATTGAAAACTTAAGATCAATGGTATGTCTGTATATTCACAGAAGAAATACTAGCTGCAGTGACTCCTTTCTGAAATGATAGATCTTGCATAATTTGAAAAGTCTCTTATATAGCTGAACCTGTTTTGTTATGTGCAATGTTTAATAGGCACTGTTGGGCATATATCACATGTACTCACAGGTGGTTCTTGATTTAGTGTCTTTAGGCTCGTGTATCTGAAGCTGTCTGAGGGATTCACGTGTACTTAAGCCTCCTGGGATTTTACAGCAGTGAGTAGCATGTGTCCAGATGGGAAGCTTCTAATTAGTTTCAGGACCAAAATAGAGACAAGATGAACTTTGTTTAGCCTGCAAATGAAAATGGCTAACTTTGAACAAGAATATCCAATCATGTGTCTCAAAACCCTGATATTTTCATTTCTGTTTATGTAACTGCTGGCACATCAAAATGTAGGTTACTACTAGTCTGGAGGAAAAAGCTATACGAGTGATGCTGAGCCCGTGAATTTGGCATGTAATTAGTATAATCTGGCTAATATTTACCTTCTCCTATCAGATGCATTGTACTACCAGATGAAATGAAGGCTGGCTCTTTATACCCAGTAAACCGATACCAAATACTAATTGCTTCATCTTCAGTATTCATTAGGCTTCTATTGGGAATAGTTGAAAAGTCATACTGCTTGAAAAAAACCCCAAACAAACTGTATTTTGTACTGCATATTAAACATGCTGGTGTTTCATCTGGTGGCAGTCTCCCTAAACTCTTCTACACATAAAAACAGCAGTGAATGATTTTAATTACAAAGATGTGATTGATCTGCACTCTAGCAATCTGGAGGAAAAAGAGAAGGTGGAGATTTTGAAAATGTTATGATCGTTAGTGTTAATACTGACTTGGAAGTAGAAGACTTTGGGGGATGAGTTTTACTTTCAGGCTATACCTTTATCTGTACTAGAACTGTTTTGCTGGAATTTTACAGTGACTGTTCTGAGTACAATACACAAGTGTAGCTGTACCTCTGAAACTGGGTTTTGTGTTACTATGGCAAAGTCTTCAACTATAAACAAAACAGTGATTGCAGTAGAGCATTCAGTATTGTAACTCATTGAGTTTCTGCTGGCACAGTCCTGCCAACCTGGGGTCGATTTCTTCTGTATGATGAATCGTCAGTTCTGACCTAAATACTGCTATGTGTAAGAAAGTCTTTAGAGGAGCTGAATAAACAGATGTAATTTTGTTACAATGCTGGAGTTACACATCGTAAAAATTTAAAATACTGTTTGCTAAAAGGTGCTAACATGCTCTGTTCTTCAAGATTCTAGGTAAATATCTTTAGCTGCTTCTACTTTAAGGCAGTAAGGAATTGCATTTAAATCGGTGCAGCACTACTGAACAAACCACAAAGTCTGGTAACCTTATCACTGTTGTTTTAGCTTACAGAAGTTGGTATGGCTGTTTATACATTTGCAATCATTTAGAGTTAACCAGGCTTCAGGGTCTGGTCTCTGTTTTCTAGCTGCATAGCTGTATGTTAGCTTAGGACTGCTTCAACTAGGAAAGATACTGTAGGATGGTGAGACTCTTTCAGGTTCTAACATCACTTTTTTGATGATGCACTGAATGTGCGCTTACATTTGAAAAAAAAAAAAAAGTGCTTTCAACCAGGTGACAGGTGAAACCTTTCTCACTTCAAATTTTCATGTTTTATTGAGACACGATTGATCCTTTTTGTGGAAAGCAATACTTGCAGCCAGTCCGTGGTTCCCAGCCTGACTTGGGTGCTTCTGTACCACTCTACACAGCACTTTGGTCCTGCAGGAGTTCATTACCCAGGACTCAGAGCAGGGAGGAGCTGAAAGCAGTCAGACTCCTGCAGGTCTGAGTGAAGGCAGTTCTGCCTTGGTGGGGTTATCTGCATCTTGGGTCATTTGTTTACGAATAGCAGGGTGTTAATTAGTGTCTGGCTGAAACTTTGTTGAGAGCTGAGTGTCATTCTTGACATAGGAAGAGGATTTAGGTACTGCATTGATACTACAAAGGACTTGGTAAGGCAGAATGTGGACAACGTAGGCAATCTCATCCACTAACTATATATAGGGCACCGGCCCCGACATGCAGTCTTGAGTCAGCTGTCAGATTGCAGTGCATGAAGGCTAGCAAATATTTGCTCATAATGCTGCAAACTTATTATGAGAGAGAGATCTAGGCATGAATCAGTGCTTTTAGGATCAGTGTTTTCACTTTACTGGTGGGTGACTCATCTTTTGAGAGGGTCACAGTTTACAGCCTGCCCTGATAGATTCGTGTCCCCAAGCCAAAACAACCCTTGTTGCTGCTGGGAGGGATGTGTAGGGAGATGTTTGTTTAGTCTGAGGGATGAGGAAAGCATTTTTTTTTTAATTTTTTTTTTTAATCCTGACTGACATAGGTATGTGGAGGCCTGCCCCTCATGCTGCTCTGCAGGCTGTGATTATTTTTAGGAGCAGTATGAGACTGCAGAGCTGTGTGAATAAACTGAAGGGAAATACACAGCCTGGCTTCGCAGCAGGGTGATGCCGGGGTTTGTCATGTGGACTCCCACAGCCATCCTGCCCATCTGACAACAAACTTAAGGGCCACTACACAGCTGGTACGTTGCCCTTCGTTAAAGCATTGGTCAGTCTCCTTAAGCTAGCTGTGAAGAAGCAAAAATGCAGTTTTGAAGACCTAGCTGAAAAACACCCCACATAGCAAATGAGGGACTTTCGTTTTCTCCCTACCGGTGTCCTGTTCTATTGGTGCTGGCTGGGAGTGGCTGGGAGGGACCAGTGGATGGGTGATGCTGCCTGCAGCCTGCCTGCTCTCTGCAGGGCCGAGTAGTCACTGATTTTATTCAAAGGCAACCACAAAATCTAAGGAGAAAAACTAGGCAGGGAGGCTAGACAGTACTTCTAGGCTAAATACCTGCTTGCAAAGGGCTCAGGAAAGTAAGAGATAATAATCCCTGGGCTTTGAAGATTATGGTTTCTTAGTTCCAGCTATATTTACACAGCTGCTCCACAAGAATTAAGAGCTAAAGATGACAGAATAGTTAGGAAGGAGAAGGTCAAGTATGGTTGTTGACTGTGGGGTATGTGGAGGGAGAGAAGATTTAAAACTTGGTTTTTTTCCTAGCTTTTCGAGACACATTGAGCCCTAGGGAAACAGACGTGCTTTTAGACTGCTTAATTGGTTCAAAATCTTTATTATTTTATGCACTGCAGTTTTCCTATTGCTGAAATAAACAATACCTCATTTAAGAAAGCCACCTAATCGCTGCAATAATCTCCGAGTCCATTGACAAAAGAGAAGGTTAGCAGGGGTGTTGAGTCTTGTAAAATGTGCTGAGGTCTCCTGGCTGGCTCTCAAGCTGCTGTATGTCAAGGTCCTTTCTAAAAATAACAGAATGGTAGAATTTAGGTCAAGCAAGATAAAGGTGTGAAGCCTGATACCTCAGACGCTAACTACACATAGTCCAGAGGTACCACCAACCATGTAACTGCTTATCTTCTGTTAACACTTTGTGAATTATAATTTAGGATAATTTCCTTTGGAGCATAACATTTTCATCCCTTTCCTATTTCAGTGTCACTTGCCCTAAAAGCTTTAACAGGTTGTTTTGATATTGGAACATCATTGGGTTGGGTGTCATAACAATGAGTTTGTGAATGAAGAAGGTCAGGAAAGAGTGTCCACCTTTGCTTCAGTGACTTGATTAGCTAAAACCAGTCTTCTTGTAAAGCGGGCTTAACATGGACAAAGGTGATCTAGAAGAGAGAAATTTTCTAAAAATATCTTGTTTCTAATACCAGCTGAACTACACTGGTCTTATAATTATTGTATGCTGTTGAAGCCGTGGGCTGCTGCTGTTCTCTTGACACCAGTTGCACGATGATCTCTAAGATGTCTTCAACCATTTATAGGCAATGTGTAAGGTCTCCATGGTAATTCTGAATTTATATATCCATGATATATGTTTTTAACTATCTACTTGAGGTGTTTCTGTGGGTCAGTTTAGTTTCTCATAGAACCTTGATTCTTTTTGAAGCGTAATATATCAAATGTCTCTGCAAACATAGTTTATTTCTATTTGGTTCCTATTATAAGTGATACAGTAAAATGGCAATCTACGGATTGTTAATAACACTGTTTCCCTTGAACGCTAGGCATTGAATTTCTATTTTAATCATATATATATATATGTATACATATTACAGTTTTCTTGATTATCCTGTATTTTGTATGGGAGCTCAATTTTGCTAACCTTAGAAAGATTAGTCTCCCTGATTTTAATTAGCTTAGGAAATTGACTTGTATGTTTAAAGTCACTGTAATTTAGCTGTAATCAGTCATGTTACACTGGAGACAAATGGGATTCGTGGACTGAGCCCACACTGATGCTTTCTGACAGCTCTCCTATTGTCACATCGATACACATCCCTCGCTGTGTCTGTGGTGGCACTGGTACCAGCAAACTGTGTTTCTATATGGTTCAGTAACTGTGTTTCTGCCACTCTGTCATAAAACTTGCTTATATAC